TTTTATTTTGCACGTATACAGTGAATGGCCATTTTGCTCAGTAATCCCAGCCAGAATTTGGCTATTTTCTAAATTTGCGTTAAAGTTTAAAATATTTGTTTTAGAACTGAAATAAATTAACTATTAGTCAATCCCAATGCTAACCAGCGGCTGCCAGGCAGGATAAGCCAACATTTTCGAGAGATGGATGGAGAACAAGCCAAAAAGAAAGTGATTTTTCCTACAATCAAGGGCCATAATTCAGGAAATTACAATTCGATATGCGCAAATATCGAAAGGATTCAAGATCTTTGGGTTATAAACTTACATTTCAAGTTTCAACAAAATCGGATAAAAATTGTGACCTCTATATAGGGTCCACAACCTTGATATACCATATTTTTACGCTATTTGAGAACAAGGCGCGACAATTTTGTCTGTCAGTTTTGGGCTGATTCTCACAAATTTCGAACTTAGCTGTCCATAGGGTGTAACGGTGATATAATAAAACGTTTTTTTAAATCGGATAAACATTATGACCTCTATAGGGTCCACAAGCTAAAAACGCGATTTTTCGTACAATCAAGGACCATAATTCAGGAAGTTATGGTCCGATATGCGCGAATATTTGAGAACGTACAGCGGCCAATTTGTCTGTCAGTTTTGGGCCGATTTTCACGAAATTCGAACTCAGCCGTCCTTAGGGTTTAGCGGTCATATAATAATACGGTTTTTTAAATCAGATAAAAATTATGACCTCTATAGGGTCCACAAGCCAAAAACGCGATTAGGGTTTAACGGCGATATAATAATACGATTTTTAAAATCGGATAAAAATTATGGAGAGAGAGAGAGAAATGGGGTTTAACATCCACTTGACACAAACTAGGTCATTTCAGGACTAACATATGGTTTTAATTTTATTTCAAGAATTCGCTTGCGCGTAGGGGTCTTTAGCAGTGGGAGGAAACCGGAGGACCCGGAGAAAACCAATGAGGTCTGTCAGGCGACCCTACTCCTTGCCACGTACAACCAGAGATTCGAAACCACGCCAGTTGACTCAATGACAGGCTTTATGATACAGTGGCACACGCTAACCATTCAGTCATCTAACCCCCCATCAAAATTATGACCTCTATAGGGTCCACAAGCTAAAAACGCCATTTTTCGTACAATCAGGGGCCATAATTGAGGAAGTTACCGACCGATATGCGCGAATATCAAAAGGAACTAAGATCTTTGGGTTATAAACTTACATTTCAAGTTTCAACAAAATTGGATAAAAATTTTGACCTCTATAGGGTCCACAACCTTGATATACCATATTTTTACGCTATTTGAGAACGAACAGTGGCCAATGTGTCTGTCAGTTTTGGGCCAATTTTCACGAAATTCGAACTCAGCTGTCCTTAGGGTTAAGCGGTCATATAATAATACGCTTTTTTAAATCAGATAAAAATTATTACCTCTATAGGGTCCACAAGCCAAAAACGCGATTTGGGTTTAACGGCGATATAATAATACGATTTTTTAAATCGGATAAAAATTATAGAGAGAGAGAAATGGGGTTTAACGTCCACTCGACACAAACTAGGTCATTTCGAGACTAACATATGGTTTTAATTTTATTTCAAGAATTCGCTTGCGCGTAGGGGTCTTTAGCAGTGGGAGGAAACCGGAGGACCCGGAGAAAACCCATGAGGTTGGTCAGGCGACCCTACTCCTTGCCACGTACAACCAGAGATTCGAAACCACGCCAGTAGACTCAATGACAGGCTTTATGATACAGCGCGCGCACGCTAACCATTCAGTCATCCAACCCCCCATAAAAATTATGACCTCTATAGGGTCCACAAGCTAAAAACGCGATTTTTCGTACCATCAGGGGCCATAATTCAGGAAGTTACAGTCCGAAATGCACAAATATCGAAAGGAACCGAGATCTTTGGGTTATAAACATACATTTCAAGTTTCAACAAAATCAGATAACCAGCGGCTGCCAGGCAGGATACGCCCACATTTTCGAGAGATGGATAGAGAACACGCTAACAAGAAAGTGATTTTTCCTACAATCAAGGGCCATAATTCAGGAAATTACAATTCGATGTGAGCATATATCGAAAGGAACTGAGATCTTTGTGTTATAAACTTACATTTCAAGTTTCAACAAAATCGGATAAAAATTATGACCTCTATAGGGTCCACAACCTTGATATACCATATTTTTACGCTATTTGAGAACGAACGGCGGCCATTTTGTCTGTCAATTTTGGGGCGATTTTCACAAAATTCAAACTCAACTGTCCTTAGGGTGTAACGGTGATATAATAATACATTTTTTTAAAATGGAAAAAAATTATGACCTCTATAGGGTCCACAAGCTAAAAACGTGATTTTTCGCACAATCAGGTGCCATAATTCAGGAAATTACGGTCCGATATGCGCGAATATCGAAAGGAACCGAGATCTTTGGGTTATAGACTTACATTTCAAGTTTCAACAAAATCGGATAAAAATTGTGACCTCTATAGGGTCCACAACCTTGATATACCATATTTTTACGCTATTTGAGAACGAACGGCGGCCATTTTGTCTGTCAATTTTGGGGTGATTTTCACAAAATTCAAACTCAACTGTCCTTAGGGTGGAACAGTAATATAATAATACGGTTTTTTAAATCGGATAAAAATTATGACCTCTAATGGGTCCACAAGCTAAAAACATGATTTTTCGTACAATCAGGGGCCATAATTCAGGAAGTTACGGTCCGATATGGGCAAATATTGAAAGGAACCGAGATCTTTGGGTTATAAACTTATATTTCAAGTTTCAACAAAATCGGATAAAAATTGTGACCTCTATAGGGCCCACAACCTTGATATACCATATTTTTACGCTATTTGAGAATGAACGGCGGCCATTTTGTCTGTCAATTTGGGGCCTATTTCATGAAATTCAAACTCAGTCGTCCTTAGGGTGTAACGGTGATATAATAATACGTTTTTTTTAAATCGGATAAAAATTATGACCTCTATAGGGTCCACAAGCTAAAAACGCAATTTTTCGTACAATCAGGGGCCATAATTCAGGAAATTACGGTCCGATATGCGCGAATATCGAAAGGAACCGAGATCTTTGGGTTATAAACTTACATTTCAAGTTTCAACAAAATCAGATAAAAATTGTGACCCCTATAGGGTCCACAACCTTGATATACCATATTCTTACGCTATTTGGGAACGAACGGCGGCCATTTTGTCTGTCAATTTTGGGCCGATTTTCACGAAATTCTAACTCAGTCATCCTTAGGGTGTAACGGTGATATAATAGAACGTTTTTTTAAATCGGATAAAAATTATGACTCCTATAGGGTCCACAAGCAGGGGCCATAATTCAGGAAGTTACTGTCCGATATGCGCAAATATCGAACGGAACTGAGATCTTTGGGTTATAAACTTACATTTCAAGTTTCAACAAAATCGGATAAAAATTGTGACCTCTATAGGGTCCACAAGCTAAAAACGTGATTTTTCGTACAAACAGGGGCCATAATCCATGAAGTTTCAATCCGATACATGCCAATATCGAAAGCAGCCGAGATTTTTTGGGGATAAACCTATATTTCAAGTTTCGTCAAAATCGGATAAGAAATGTGACCCGTAGAGAGTCCACAAACAATTGTGGACGGACAGGAGCGACTGTGACCTCTACTATAGGGTCCACAACCTTGATATATCATATTTTTACGCAATTTGATAACGAACAACGGCCATTTTGTCTTGTCAGTTGTGGGCCATAATTCAGGAAGTTACGGTAAGATATGCACAAATATCGAAAGGAACCGAGATCTTTGGGTTATAAGCATACATTTCAAGTTTAAACCAAATTGGATAAAAATTGTGACCTCTACAGTGTTCACAAGCTAAAAATGTGATTTTTCGTACAATCAGGGGCAATAATCCATGAAGTTAAAGTCCGATACATGCCAATATCAAAAGGAACCGAGATCTTAGGGTGATAAACCTATATTTCAAGTTTCGTTGTTCAAATCGGATAAAAATTGTGACCTGTAGACTGTTCACAAACAATTGTGGACGGAGGGACAGGGGCGACGACAAAATACGTCCACATGAAAATGTGGACGTATAAAAACATCGAGTTTACATTTTTATTGAAAGTGTGATTACCTTCGATTATTTTCAGCTTATTTTCATGATGCAAGAATGACCGCGCATTCACTTTTAGTGCAAATGAACCCATTTGACCTTTGACCCCAAATATCTCGAAAACGCCCCAACCACTCGGCATCGTATTCTACGCAAAATTTTACTCTAGAAAAGTTCAGTCTGGTTTTGTGCCCATTTGATGGACACCCCCCCGCGCTGAGCCTTCAGACTAATGTTATTTTTGTGAAAAATCATTGGAAGAAGAGAGAACATGTCGGGACTGGACTAATTATATAGTCTTTATAGGTGCAAAGGAAACAATGCTGAAGATAAATCTATTGTTTACAATGTAACGTAACGTGTTGTTGACCTCATGACCCATTGACGTCAATGTCATGACCTGTGATGTGTAGATCACGTGATATGGATATCATGGCTATTGACTGTGTCTGAGATACTTCTCCGCAGGTAGCGTGTCTCAGATGTTCAGAATGGACGTAATGTTGAAGGAGACTATATTAGATGTTAGATACAGTTAGAGTTCTGAGTCTCATGAGAGTAGGTCGTCTGTCATTAGGCTATGTTTATATGCTTACATATCGTGTTGTGTATTTAGTTGCTTTCTATAATAATACAAGTAGTATTATCCTGATCCTGACTTTGTTATATATTGGGGCTATCATTATGAAGTATGAAATTGGGCCAGTCTGTCATGTCAAGCAACTGGCAGCACGCATTATATATGAATGCAACAGAAATGCCCAAATCCCGATATGAGCTAGAATGATTTAGCCCCATGGCTACCCGTCGATAACTTATCGGTAAGCTTATATGTTTTAAAATAAAATCTAATACCAGACATCTTTTCATCTGAAAGGCCTGATTCTTCACAACATTTAGAGCTTCTTCCAGTAGTTTGTCCTGCTCCTCCTGAGGTGATAATTGTGGTGTTGACGGCTGTAATAATTAAAACAGTATAAGAAAAATTAAGATAGTACAGACAGTAATAATTACACCATTATAAAATAGTGTTAATTATTAAAATATCATATAAGAGATAACAATAATTACATCATTATAAAATAGTGTTAATGATTAAAACATTATATTAAAGGAGCTAAATCCGTATTCTTTGGCACCTAGAAATGGACACAAATGGGTCTCAACTCATTATAAGTAATATGAATGTACATGTATATAAACTGATATTTACATTCAATCGTGTCTGTTTTTAGTGTAATTTCAAATCCGTTATGTTCTGCGAAATATGCAAAGAGTCCAATTGAATGGCAGTCTTTGGCGTCTGGATATACCAATCTACACCGGAAGTATACTCCCCTTTGGATATGTTTAGCCTCGTTCATCGAGTCATTTCATTACAAATGGTGCTCGAAAGCATTCTGGCACGCGATTCATGTGCCAATTTTAAAATTTTCATCTTGTCTTAAATATTGGATATCAGAAGCCAATCTTTTCACAGTAAAATAACAACATTTAAATTGACCAATTAGTCGTGTTTGAAACGTTGAAGACTGTGAATGATATCGAGTTAGCGACTTGCCTTCTTTAAAGAGCACATCAAGTGAGAAAACAATATTATATGTACGTTCGTCGTTCGTTCGTTCTTGGTGTTTAACGTCTGCTTCCACATAAGTGATATCGCAGACAAGACATAGGAGAGCCGAAGCTGATTCCTGTTTTTTAGAATATGATTTTGCAATCTTTCCATTTGGCCTTAGGCCATGGATTTGGTTTAGTGGGAAGTTCTTCCCTTTATTTAATATAAAACATATCGTTTGGTAGATGATCTCGTCTGCTTCTGGATTGGTAGATGTCATCGTTTTAGTGTTTAAGTGCCAGGCCCGTCTTATCGTGGCCTCCCCCCGTACTCCACTATCCCACTCTCTGGGTTTGGTATCAGTTTTATTTGCGGAATAGTGTTTAGGTGCCGAGTTCGTCTGACCGTAACTCCCCCTTACTCCACTATCCTGCTAGTTTGGTAGATGTCATCTTTGTGGGGTTTGTGTTTAGGTGCCAGGCCCGTCTTATCGTGACCTCCCCTTACTCCACTATCCCACTCTGTAGGTTTGGTGTCTGTTTTTGGTGGAATAGTGTTTAGATGCCGAGTCCGTCTGATCGTGACTCCCCCTTACTCCACTATCCTGCCAGTTTGGTATAAATCCCCTATGTAGTTTAGTGTTTAGATGCCGGGCCCGTCTAACCGTGACCCCCTCTTACTTCACTTTTCTACTTAGTCCAACTGTGTCCATTAGGGCGTGGATTTGTTCGAAGATTTGCAGTTTCAGATCTGGTCTCAGGAAGAGTAGGTTCTTAGTGTTGAATGGTATGTTGTTGGTCTCCATTGTTCTCACTAGTTCCCTTCTGATTTCCAAAATGACTTCTGGTCTTGAGTCCGAGTTGTCATTTTGGATTGAAATCAGACTGCTCAGAGAGTCGCTTGGAATGACGAACTTACTAGTCTTTTGATGAGAAATCCATGATATAGCGTCACGAATTGCCACAAGCACTGCAGTGTACACCTAACAATTATTAGGCAGTTTCCTGCTTATTCCCTGTTTCCCGTTTGGCAGGTATATTCCGAACGACCTGGTGCCCCTTTCAGGATTGTGTGAGCCATCCGTGTACACATGGTCCCAGTCATCAGACGGCCAGTTGTCTTCCAGGTGTTCTAGAGAGAAAGCACGTGCAGCAGTGGGGTTGTTTTTCTTGTTAGTTTTCTGTAGTAGATCTAGATTAACCGGCGGTATAGGGAGCGTCCAAGGGGCGATCGCTGGGGGGTCGTGTTCATTTATCACGAGCTCCCCCAGTTGCAGTTCCTTGATTGTTTCCCTGATACCCTGGCCGAAGCTTTTCTTTTTAGGATCTCTTACATATCTTGTCTTTTGTAGACTGACAAAAGTAGGGGATCTTTCGCCCAGTTGCGAGATCTTGGCCCAATACCTTGTCACTAGTTCTTTTCTTCTTAGGGATAGGGGCAACTCCCCGGCTTCCAGTAGTAATGCCTCTCTCCTAGTCCCAAGCCCTACGCCAGTCGCAATCAAAGAGCTTTGTATTGGATGGTATCAGGCTTACTTAAGAGTTTTGGCGCGCAGTTCAAGAAGGCCAAAGAGCCATAGTCTAATACAGAGCGTATTAGAACACGATACACCATCATTAATGTAACTCTATTGGCACCCCATGTACTACCCGTTATTTTTCTCATTAAGTTTAAGATTTTGGAGCATCTATCTACAGTCATGTCGATGTGCGATTTCCAGGTCAGCCTTCGGTCAAAGATTACGCCAAGGAACTTGGTTTGGTCTTTAAACTCGATGGTTTTCCCATTCATACACAGAGTCATTGTGCTTATCCCACAATCCCTGCTCACGAGCATACCAACCGTTTTCTTCTCTGAGACTTTAAATCCCCAGTCCTTTGCCCATGTCATGAATTTGTCAAAGGCCTTTTGCATGTTCTTTTGCAGTTCACAAAAGCTCCTCCCTTTCCTCCATATGGTACTGTCATCAGCAAATTTAGCTAAGACAGTTCTGGCATCGAGGTAGGACGATTTCTGTATGTCATTCATCATGATATTGAAGAAGGTGGGACTGATGACCGACCCCTGAGGCGTGCCATTTTCCAATGTTTGCGCGGCACTCAGGAATCTGCCAACATTCACCTGTATCCTTCTATTGCTAAGAAAGCTTTTGATCCACCGAAACATTATGCTCGTTATACCGATACGTCCCAACTTAAAGAGCAGCCCGTCTAACCAAACCAAATCGAAAGCCTTGGTCAGATCTACGAACACGGCACATAACAGGTACGCCGAGAGGAGTGTCTGCGACATAACTTGCTGTAGTCTCACCAAGTGGTCCATTGTTGATCGTCCTTTCCTGAACCCACTTTGATTTTCGTCCATCAGTCGGTTACTCTCCAGATAGAACTGTAATCGGATGTTAACCATTGTCTCCAAGGTTTTGCATAGTGTGGATGTCAAGCTTACTGATCGATAGGATTCTGCCTTTGTCCTCTCTTTCCCCGGTTTCAGTAGAGGGATGATGTTTGCTTTCCGCCATTCTTTAGGTACCGCTCCTGACAGCCAGGATGTGTTGAAGAAGTTTAGTAGTGTCGATTTGGCGTTTCTAGGCAGATGTTTGAGCATTGAGTACTTTACTTTGTCCTCACCAGCCGCACTATCCTTCTTGAGGGAAAGAGCCTTATTTAACTTTTCCCCAGAGAAGGGTAGGTTGATTGGGTCAGCCTCTTCATTAGATTCAATTACTAATGAAGGGTGCTGCGAGTAAAATGTTTCCTACCTCTTCAGAAACTCTGGTGATTGGTTTTCATCTCTGCTTGCGTCTGCAAATGTCTTTTCCTTGCCGTTGGTAACGTACTGGTCTCCATCTTCAAGGTTTGGTATGTTGAATGATCTGCGGTTCCCGTTCATGGCTTTCAGCTTCTTCCAGACGTATTACAGAATGTCATCCAGTGCCCACTTTGTGCCTTCTGGATGGTGTCTCTTGCAGCGTATTTCAACTTTAGGTAGTTTTGGTGGTTGACTTCATTGTAGTGGCGTTTCCGTAGGCGAAGTGCCTTCTTTCTTTCGTTAACCGCCTTCTGACATTCTGGTGACCACCAAGGTTTTCTAATCCTTGGTTTTCCACCAGAAGTCTTGGGAATGGAGTCGTTTGCGGCACCTATAATAGAACTTGTGATGTTGGCAGCATACACGTCGATGTTGGCATCGATGATATCTTCTTCCTTCCAACCAAGGCAGCCTACACGGAAGTTGGCCCAATCGGCTTCTTTCATTTTCCAATTGGGTCTCCCGTTATAGACTTCCCTGGTTGCTTCAGCCCGAATGCAGAGTTCTATTAGTAGATGGTCACTGCCAAGTGTTTCATCTTCGTGTACTTGCCAGTCGCAGCGGTCTGCCATACCAAGCGTACAGAACGTGAGATCTAGGTGCGAAGGTGGGGCATTTCCTCCGACAAAAGTAGGGCTCTCGTCGTTCAATACGCATAGGTCGTTCTCTTCTATTATTGAGCATAGGCTAATCCCCCGACAGTCAATCCTCGGTGACCCGCACAGCACGGGTTTTGCGTTGAAATCCCCGAGAGCTAGTCGAGAAGTGACTGGAAGTCAACTGGTTTTCTCGTGACATCTGGGGGTACATAGACATTCACTATTGTCAATTTTGTATTATTGCTCAATGTGATGGCTATGCCCATTGCTTCTAGAGGGGCCTCTATGTCCAGCGAAACACAAATATAATTTAAGTTATCACTGACGTAGATGGCAAGACCGCCGCCACGTGTCGTGATGCCCGGTCTGTCCCTTCTCTGACAAGTGTATCCGGGCAAGTAGATGTCGTTCTTGGTTGGTAGTAGCTTGGTTTCTTGGAGACATATTACATCTTTGGGGTTGCGGGTGATGTATTTTCTCAGCTCAGCACATCTGGGGGCCAGGCCATTAACGTTCAGTTGTAGAACTTTTACCTGGCCCGCCATGATGACTGTCCAGATGGATGCCGGTAACGTGATACCGGCGAAACCGTGGTCATAAAAATATTTGATATTTAAAAAAACCCAGTAAAAATCGGTGCTCTTGCAAAAATCGTGATTTCACGGTCGGGTGTGACCGGATCAAAACACCTAAAGTATCGTTTGGTAGCTCGATGAATGGGCTATTGTATGACACACTTCCTATCTGATTCCTGAAAGCCGGTTCAGTGCTGCTTACAGGTCTAGTTATTATTATTATTATTATTATTTACCGCGGGAGCCTTTTTCTCCATGATCGAAAACAGATATCGATCTGGGGTTAAATTTTCTCTCTGGAAACTATGTGGTGGTTACTCGAAAAAGTATTTTTGAAACTTCTGCGTAGACC